CACATTTGAAGAATTGAATAATGAACGACGTAAAATAAAATTAATGTTACTCTATAACGGGTAAGTTTATAAAAAAAATATTACGAAAAGAATTTTATTCAATGCTATATTTTATAGATACCCATCGACATTTATTGAAAATGAATTCAAGAAATATTTTTCTGAATACATATCAAATTCACCATTTTTAAATTTCATTGATAACGAAAACAAATACAACCATACGAGACAAAAACTATTAGGTCTACCAACACTTCGCCAATCACAAGTAGCAATGAGTGCGGCCCAAGCAAACATTGATAATGACGAAGCAGATGATCGATTAAATCAACCCGATGAATCTACGAAACAACCAGAGAAGAAAACTTTCAATTTTGACGAAAAATTATTCATACATTTTACACATGAAAACCGTTTCCATACATATAGGAAAGATTTGCACCAAATATACAACGACGTCTTTCAACAAACACCGGCCATGGATACACGATTGATCGTTCGTAACCGGAATCGTCGCGAAACTCAAAACGAACTGATACGGAAGCGTCCAACAAAAGCAATATTACAAAATAAACAACCGAGAATAAGTTTCCAACAAACATCGACAAAACTTTTCATGAAAACATTAATCATTCGACCTTTTTTCTCTACTTAATTAGAAGCAAATCACAAGAGAACCACACCAAACTGAACGAGATAGAAATCCTATTTGAATCAAACAGACAATAACATGAACGATGACAAACATCCGAAACATCTCGATCGAACAAGAAAACAAAAAAAAAACATTGAAAAATTCTCAAAAAAAGTTAACTTTCAAAAATTGTGAACTTAGAATATTACTGAATAAAGAATTAATTTTCCTTGAAACTATTTGAAATGAATTTATCATCATATATTTAAGATTTATTCTTATATATGACAGTTATAAATTAATTCTTCTGATTTTTAGGATTTTTTCCTGAAAATTTTAAGAATTATTTACCATCTGATGATTCCTTTTGCTAGGATGAAATCTATAGATCATGGTAGCTAGTCACCCTCACATCGTTTCTGGAACCTGTAGTGCTAGTTAGAACCCGAGTAAATAACTGCTGAACGTTCCTTCTGAGAGAAATAAAATAAATTCGTTAATATAAAGAACACTTGAATAACTTGTTTTTGTTTGCTTAGTGGGCTTGTTCGAACTTTGTTTTATTGTTGAAAGTGTTTGTATCTCTCTGTTGTTGACACTTGTGATAGTCCTCAAGCTCCTGATTATTTTGAGTTTTCTTGTCACTTAAAGCCTTCATTACTGCGCCTTTTATTCTGGCCCACTTTTGGATCGCAAAAATGTGACTTGCGTGGTTCCAGTTACTGGCAGCTCTATAATGTAAAATGTGAAAGTCACCTATAATGGCATGGTCGTAAGTTTTTGCTATTATTGGATCTTTTGGCCATATCAGTTGGAAAAGATCTGGGTTCCTATGAATTTTTTCGATCATTTGCGGTGTTTGACGATAGTATTGAGTCTGAGAACCTGTTAGATCACCGTCTATACCGTAAGGTGTTTGCCAAATGCCTTTGATGCGAACTTTTGGATGAGCATTAATCCAAAAATAGGTTTCGCCTCCCGAATCTAGACTCTGTCCATTAATAGTCGTGCTTTTCCATGTCAACTTTGATATATTGGGGATAGCTTGAATTTCTCGAAACACAAAGAAATTAGGCCATATATAGAAAATGTATGGACCAGGCACATGATGACGTGGCCGACGTTGCCAAACGGTCATGATATCATATTTTGTTGAAGGCATTACCTCTTCCCATACCCAATCATTCAAGAAAAACATGTCAACATCAAGAAACCATACGCGGCCTCTATGTTTTGACGCATGCTTCTGAATAATCCATTGTACCGTTGCACTGTGTGATGCTGATGGTCCACCCTTTTCTAGAAATCTGGGAACTCGAATATATTTGACGTTGAGCTGCTTACATGTGTTATTTATCGTCTGTGTTATTTCTGGTTGACTGCTGAAGCTATGATCAAACACTACGTAATCAAAAGAGCTGTTCGGTAGGAAAGCTAGTGCGGTTGCATAATTCAGTTCGATGATATCAGCACGATTAATTGCAATTATAATTAGAAGGGTAACAGATTCGGTGTTGGGAATAAGAAAGACAGGCAGACGACATTCACGGTTGATAGCGAAATGAGTCGTGGTAATTTCTGAAGGAAAAGTTGTGCCATTATTACATTCGTATGAAGGCAATGTCTTTGCTGCATGTTTTCTCGAGTTAACAGCAATTAAATCAGTTGTAAGGAATGTTTCTGAATGTATATCAGCACGACAGATAACGCCAATATACAAGATAAAAATTAACCCAAAAATTGTAATCCAGCAAAATGAATGTAATAAAAACAGCAATGTGTTATAGCTCCGATCAAAACAAATAAAATTGCTTTTTCTTCCAAAAACATTTCTTTTCTCTCTTGCAGTTATCATGGCAATATGTCTTGTATGCGTTTTGGACACAATGAAATACTTTGCTGTCGTTTTTTTTGAAAAAAACCTATCCAGTAAACTGTGATCTTAAATAAACCCAAACTACGGATATATGCCGCCTACTATGACCGGCGTTCCAATCTAAAATAAATGAATGTAAGCATTCCAGTCAGATGGATGCATGGGTGGCTATGATTCTTCTCTTCACACCCATCCACCACCTCACAGCCATTTTCATCTATAAAACTCGACTCAGTCAAACAATAATCAGGAAATTCGTGGACAGTAAACAAAAGTGTACATACACACACTATATTTTATTGAAGATGCGAAACGAAAATATTCCAGAGTCTTGGAAGTAGTAAATGACTTGAACTGCTCATCAGAGATTTTCCCAAAATGAATTGGTGGCATAAACTCCTACGAAACTTGCAGAACCTTTCAGACAACAAAGTTAAAATGGTCATGAGTAAAAGCTTATTATGGCAGCTTCTCTGAAGATGAAATGTGGAAATCACATATGTTCTTTGGTCTTGTTAAACTAATAAAAAGTACGTGAACTCTAAAAATTCTTATACTATAGCTCTGTTCGCAGATAATCAATCCCCAAAGTAAATGTTTGGCGTATTCATGTCTGCATTTCGAGCAGAAATCTTTTTCTTCTTACGGATGTCGTATTGATCGCTTCCACTGTTACTATTCGCTCTTCATTTTTCATTTTCACATTTTTTTTGCTGAATTCAGTACTCATATCATCATAAGCATTGAATTAAATGGGACATTAGAGTATTATTAACATCTATTATATCCAGGGTGGCAGGTCTCACCGCACTACCATATATCTTGAGGGTGTAGGTGTGGCTGTGAGTGCGGCGGGGTGTGTGTATGGTTCTGGGTGTGTGGGTGTTAGTGTGGGTGTCAGTAGGGTGTGGGTTAGTGTGTGGGT